CGCAGAGGAACATCATCCAACGCTGTTGGTAAAACCTCACTAAAAAAATTGAGGAACTGTGCACTATTTAAATTATTTTCTGAGAAATAAGGCCCAATTAATTTATTTCCGAGAAGTCCACACCAAAAGTTGATACTGTGAACCACCTGTTGATGACAAGAGTACGAAATTCTGAGATTTTCCTCTGCTCACGTTCGGATATACCTACGGTTTAGTATGCCATTAGAACTTGAATTTATCAGTTCATGGATGGAAGAACGTTTTCTTCAGCCTCCCAAATTGACATTTTTTTAGGAACGTTAGACGCCTGCTATAATCAGAGTCCCGAAGTCCCTGGACAATATGAGAGCGATATGCTTAAAATTGTAAGCCCGGAGTACATCTGTAATGTTATTTTTTGAAAAACCTTAAAACATACAGTAAAATATTCGCTCTTCGTTGAAATTTCGCTGCCGGTTTCGTATTGCCAAAACTTTATCGTTTTTTGACCAATTTAATATCCGAGTGCACCAATGTTTTCAGCGTAAAAAATCCTTTAAAATGATCCGTCCTGGTGTGTAGGGTTGTATTTGAAATTTTGAAGTTGAACCTGAAGTACCCTCTATGATTTGTTTCCTAAACAAAGTAAAAATTTAAACCTATATTAAAAAATATGAAACACGTATTTTTTATCTTTTTGATAGCGTCATTGGTTCATGAGAAATTAAGCCTGCCATGAAAAAACGACACCCTGTACATAACACTCAAGTTTTGTCTTTTATAAATTTCAAGCATTTTCATATTTATGTATATAGATCATTTCTTTGATTTGCCTTCTGCCCACATAACTTTCATAATCCATAGTTTTTGAACTATGCCAGTCAAAATTGGGACCTGTATTGTGGATAGGATTGGAAAAAGCAGTTCTATTCTTAACTGGGTTTCTTGTGTCAGATTTGATCAGATATTTTTGGTCTTGTGCTCAGATACCTCAATTGTCTAAATGGCCGCATCTCACCTTTTCTACGTTACATTCAAATCTTCGTTTATATTTTCATTTTGAAACGGATTGTGCAAAATTTTGTACGCTTTGGTAATTCAGTGAGGCCCAAAGCACCAGAAAAATTTGTTTTCTTCTTCTTTTTAAAAGAAATATGGCAACATTTTGAATTTTTAATGTACAAATTATAAGTTTACTATTAAGGAGATTTTTCAATGTATTTTTAAATTACATAGTTGTTTGCATATGATTTTTCCTGTCAGATGGTAAAAAAAATGGCTGAGAGTTCCTCGCGGTTGCCCAAATTCGGTTAAGACGGGTCCAAAACGTTCCAACGAACCTCGTGTGGTAATTCCGATACAACTTATTCACCCAATAAATTACCACTCCGGCGGTCTCCGCGTGAAAAATCCACCGTCACGAATCCCACGAGATATTTTATTCGTAACAGCCGTGAAATTGGCTCTTTTTGAATTATAGGCAGTTTACAATTGTGGGAGGAAGGAAGGGGGTTAAATTTTATTCTGTGCGCTAATTTGGGCGGAATAATAACGCGGCGGCAATTGAGTGTCAGGTGGGTGTATCCTAGGTGCACAATTATCTCCACATTAACTAGAAGGGCGAAGGGATAAAAAAAGGGAGGTGTCGGTCGCCTCGTGCTGCCTTTTTTCCTTTCTAAAGCCCCCCTTTAATTAGAGATATGTCAACACACTCCCTACATCCTCAGGACCCCCTTTTTTTTAATACCAGTTTAGTCCTCAGTACCCGATTGAAATTATATACTTAAAAAAGATCAATCCTTTGAAAATATAACGTACATGTTCACTCACAACAGAAACAAAAAATTTTAAAAATTCCTGGAATTCCATTACAGGAAAAAAATTATAAAAAAGCTAATCTATAAAATATCCATAATCCATTAAGCACATTAAAAAAGCGGCAAGTTTGCCAGATATTTTTACTCCGTTAGTAAGGATAGTTATCATTTTTCTTTCAAACGTTGACAGTTCAAGGCGAGAATTAACATTTTTTTTTTACCTCCACTAGTTGGAATATTCTTGATTACTTGTATCGAATCATTGTGAATGAAAAGTTAAAGGTATGGAAAATATGGGTCAAAATCATGGGACACGCAAGTTCCGCTGAATTTACACGAAAACTGTCATGTTTCTTTGTGTTTTGTAGAGAGGGTAGGCGTGGTTTTTGGATTTTGACAGACCGTCCCAACGAGAGGATAGGCAGATCAAAATCAATCTGGAAAAAAGTGCTTATAGGAAAAAAAATCATTTTGAATATTCTTTTGGGAGAATAAATACTTTTCAATATCAAAATCCGTTTTGTAAAGTTTTCATGGTTATATAATATTATTATTGGGAAAGAAAAATATCTTTTACGTTAAGGAAAGAAACCTGAGACTGTTTTGCTGAATTTTGCTAAAATAGACTGATTTTCAACCAAAATGAGATAAAGTCAACTATGAAAATACTTTTTCCTTGCTTTTTTTTAATTAATTCGTTCTTGTTTAAAGTGTTAGATTTATTTATTTTTTACTAACGAATAATCTGAATCTCGGTATGGCCCAGATGAAAAAAACCAATTCAATTGATAATGCCAAGCTTTCGACCTATTTTAAGGTCATCATCAGGGCAGAACAATCTTAAAAATGTCTACAAATTGACATCATTAAGTTTTTAATAGATTATTTAAATTTTGTTTGAAGACCGCCCCAGCCGGACAAACATAATGACGTCAATTTGTAAACATATTTGAATATGACCTTAAAATATGTTGAAAGCTTGGCAGTAACAATTTAATTTTTTTTTATTCGGACCGTACCAAGATCCAGTTTAAATTGAATTATTTACAAATTCTAAATCATGCACGAACTACAAGAATGATTCTGTTTAATAAAGTACAGGCCTAGATTAATTACAAATTTTGAAACATTAAAAAACTAGGATTTTTGTAAATTTGCTCTTGAAATTGCATGATCTAATGAACTATAAAAATTTCAAAAAACCCGGAATAAAGCCCCCAAAAAAATCAAAACCATTTTTTCATAGCCTGTCATTAATGATTGATATTTCGCGGTTATGATCAGTCAAACTTCGAAAACTTGCAAGCTGTACCGGGTTCAACAAACCTTGCATCCTTTTCGACTAGTCTCTTTTAAAAAACAAAAAATCAATAGACTAAAAATTATTTCGTATTTTTTAAAAAGGGTAGAAATGTTTTAACAAAAAAATAAAACCCTTCAGAGCACGTACCATTGTGTTGTTGTTTTCAATTAAATATAAAAAAACGCAAATTTATCTCTTCTGATATTTCTTTATTATTTTTTCTTCAAAAATTGTTTAAAAAACGAAAATTATCTACGTATTATGACAGAACTCTGGCACAGCAAGCAATTATAATTTTTTTAACGGATTAAATTTAGTGTTGTTTTTCTAATAAATATACCAAAACTACGCACCTACGTAATATTGAAATATTTCGAGAAGAATCTTTACTCAGGATAGATTTTTTAAAGGGTGAGTGACTGAAAGGTAGTGTTAAATCAATTTTATTTTTTCAAAAGCTCCGTGAAAAATGGAAAAATATTAACTTTCGACGATTTTTTAAATTATACGTAATATACAAAAATTAATAATAATTTATTTTTTTAAGAAAAAGTGACAAAAAATGGAAATTATTTTAAGATTACTGTAGAATTCTTAAATAGAAAAAAAGTCCATGACTTTTTTTTAACGAAGTGATCGGGTTTCAATATTTTTCAAATGATTGAACTGAATCATGAAAAAATCTATCTATAAATATTATATTTTAAGTGTTAGATATACCGACCACTTTTTATTCGTGAATAATCTCGATCTCCGTATGGTCTGGATTACAAAAATTCAATTTTTACTGCCAAGCTTTCGATCTTTTTAAAGGTCATCGTCAGGACAAAACAGTCAACAAATTGACATATTTTTCAAATTCGGTCTTTTCGAAAATGTTGAAATTATCTTGATCATTTCGTTAAAAAAAAGTCATGAGCTTTTTTTCACGTAAATAATCTTTGTCAATGTTTTTTTTTAAATTAAAACTTAATTATATCAATTTGTAGACATACATAAGATTGTTATGCCATGATAATGACCTTAAAATAAATCGAAAACTTGGCATTAACAATTAAATTTGTTTTTTTCTTCAAAACCATACCGAGATGAATATTTATAAAATGATAATTGCCTTCATTTTTAACTTTCGTTAAGAAAGCAATATGCATTATTTTTATGACAAAACACTATGAAGATGTTTTTTATTTAAAAAGTGGAAATATTATATGATAAAATATAATCGATATTTTGCGAAGATTACAATCTAAAAAAATGATCTAGATTATAAAATTTTACGTACGTAATTTGATAAGATAAAATTCATCTGGTAATGTTTTCTCTTCTAAAAAAATATATATATATAAGTTATAAAATTTTACCTATTCCTCGTGCCCTTTGAAAAAGCTGTCTCTAGGAAAAAAACCCGATGTGCAACAAAAAGTTCTTGAAAATTTTCCTACGAGTACTGACAAAATGAAATCCTAGTGATAACAATTCTAATTAAACGGCTAAAGGAATTTTTATTGCATTGTCAAGGCAAAAAAAGTTTCAACGTTCATGTTTTGTAGATAATGTATCGCGAAGATTTTGCAAAAATAAAATAAAAATATAAAACTATTATAAATAAATTAATGACTTTTCTTTGTGGATTGCTTTTGGATTATTTAGGTAAAGAGTGACTTTTTTGTGATTTATTTGTAGGCAAATATCTGTTTTCTATGAAATAAGACTTATTTTTGGTTTGATTCTGACGCTATTGTCAATTTTTTTGAAATTTTAGGTTTTTTCGAGAGCGGAGAAATCGAAAGAGGGGTTTGTTATTGTGACCAATAGAGTTTGGGTTTTTGGATAAATTTGTATAATCAAACACTCGATATAAGTGGAAAAATATAGTTTTTATTAAAAATTGAAGTTCCTACCTTCGCATGTGAATTGTCCGTAGTGTTTTCCACTTGATTTATCGCCGCAGACGATGCACTCAATATTTTGGTTTTTGTCTGCCTGAGATCCTCCGCTCTGGGTGCTGTTGGTGCCCGGGGTGTCACCACGGATCGCCTGGGAGACTAGGGTGTCTTCCTGGGTCAGGGTGACGAGGCTCGGGTCCCTCCAAGGGACGATGGCCCTCGGAGGAAATTCAGGGGGTACGTGGTGATACGGGGGGGCACCTGAGCTCGCACCCCCTCCGCAGAGCACCCCCCCGACACTCTGGTCCACGAGAATTTTAAAAGATTGATCTCGAACGGAAAAAGCGAACGTTTGTCTTCTGGCTCGTCGAACGGCAAAACACGACGCACCCCCACGGGATCCGTATCACATTTGACCCTGACAGGCTCAGGTCTCTAGGGCGACTGGCACCCTGAACCCTGACCCCCTCTCCCGACCTCGGGCCCCCACCCGCTCCCCCCATTAATGTTGTCATGACTACCCTCCTCCCATTGGCCCGTCCGACCCTTGCCCCCTACCCGGCGCATTTTCGCAGGACTCTTTACTTCGCGTCTCAAATCGATCTCATTCCGCTACAATTAATCTACTCCTGAATTATTAACCACCCCCGCCATTAACACATTCACTAGCCTCTCCTCCAATCATTTACTCATTCACTCATTTTTATACTCATCCCCCTTCTTCCTGCATCAGTAAAAAGACAGGCGATAGATCATCTCATACCGACCAAATTACGACCAGACAATTATAAAACAATTAAACACCCTATTTATCCTGCTACTCTCCACTACCCCATACATAAATACGATATTGAAATTATCTACAATTCTAAAATGTAAGCAAATACAAAACAATTATATCCAAAAAATAGTTTAAACACTTTAACACCTGAACTTTATGTTTTTTTCCTATAATTATTTTACCGATAGATTTCTATTCGTTTATACTTCTAATATTAAAGCATTGTGGTTTTTGAAACAGATAGATGGCAATTGGAGGGGGAAACATTTGAAAGAAAAATGTCTTTCCAAAAAATTTGTTTTCAGGGGTATTTTGTACTGGGGAAAAAACCGATAACAAATATCAACATTGTTTCTTCCTTAAAAAATATATTTAAAAAAAAGGTCGCTTGGTTAAATGTAAACAAACCAATAATCCGGAGGCAAGTGGAAGGCAAAAGTTTAAAAAAAAATGGTTTCCAAAAAATTGATATTTAGGGGTATTTTGTAGTGAAAAAACACAACAAATATCAACGTTGGTTCTTGCGTAAAAACATACATTAAACTGCTTTGTAACGTCACTTGATTTCATGTAAACAACAAACCGGAGTGGACGGTGAAACTTTGAAAAAAAAAATTCTTCCCCAAAAATTTGTGTTCATGGGTGTTTTGTAGTGAAAAAAATATGTCAACGTTGTTTCTTCCTTAAAAAATATATGAAAAAATATATAAAAATATACATTAACCTACTTTGCAATGTCGCTTGGTTTCATGTAAACAACAAACCGGAGTGGACGGTGAAACATTTAAAAGAAAAATGTCTTTCCAAAAATTTGTATTCACGGATATTTTGTAGTGAAAAAACACAACAAATATCAACGTTGTGCCTTGCTAGAAAATATATTTACGAAAATATAGTTTAACCTACATTGGCAAGTGGAAGGGTGGAAGGCAAAACATTAGGAAAAAAAAATTTCTTTACCAAAAATTTGTGTTCAGGGGTATAAAATATATATATATATATATAAACCACCTTTGTAACGTCGCTTGGTTTCATGTAAACAACAAACCGGAGTGGACGGTGAAACTTTGAAAAAAAAAATTCTTTCCCAAAAATTTGTGTTCATGGCTGTTTTGTAGTGAAAAAAATATTTCAACGTTGTTTCTTGGTTAAAAAAATAGGAAAAAATATGTATAAATATATATTATCCTACTTTGCAATGTAGCTTGGTTTCATGTCAAAACAACAGCGAATATCAACGTTGTTTCTTCCTTAAGAAATATATTTACAAAAAAAATAGTTTAACCTATATTGGCAAGTGGAAAACAAAACATTTGAAAAAAAATTGTTTACAAAAAATTGTACTCAGGGGGTGTTTTTGTTGAAAGAATATCAACGCTGTATCTTGTTTTAACAAATAAATAAAATATTTTAACTGTAATGTCACTTGTTTTCATGGAAACAACAAACCGGTGGGAAGTGAAAGGAAATACATTTGGAAAAAAAATTCGTTTCCAAAAAATTTATATTCTGGGGGATTTTGTAGTGGAAAAAATATCAACGTTGTATCTTGATTAAAAAATAAAATATTTTAACCTACTTTGTACCGTCGCTTGGTTTTATGTAAACAATAGACCGGTGGTAAGTGGACGGTGAAACATTTGAAAAAAAAAATATTTCCTTCACAAAAATTTGTATTCATGCGTATTTTGTAGTAGAAAAAAACACAACGAATATCACCGTTGTTTCTTGCTTAAAAATATATATTAACCTACTTTGCGACTTCGCTTGGTTTTATGTAAACAACAAAACGGTGGGCAAGTGAAACGAAAAACATTTGAAAAAAAAAATTTTGTTCCAAAAAATTGGTATCCAGGTAGACTTTGTAGCGGAAAAAATATCGATTTTGTATCTTGCTTAAAAAAATAAATATTTTAATCCTACTTTGCGACTCCCTTGGTTTCATGTAAATAAAGCGGTGGGCATGTTAAAGGTAAAATATTTCGAAAAAATTGTGTTCAGGGGGATTTTGCAGTGGAAATCTCAACGTTGTATTTTGTTAAAAAAAATAAATAAATAAATATTTTAGCCTAGTTTGCAATGTCGTTCAGTTTCATATAAACAACAAACCCCGTTGGTAAGTGGAACACAAAAAATATGATTTCAGGGGTATTTAGTAGCACAATAAACAAATATTAATGTTGTTTCTTTGAAAAAGAGTCTGCTAAAAAAATTTAGCTTAGTTTTTGTAACTTGGTCACAAATTAAATCGGTGTCAAGAAGAAAGTAAACAAATTAAATAAAAACAAATAATTTCAGCGTTGTTTCTTGCTAAAAACGAATAAAATAACTAAATAGTTTTAAATTATTACTACTGCTAGGTCATAAATTAAAACCAAATCGGTGGCAGGTGGTACTCGAAAAATTTGAGACAGTTTTATCTCACAAGAATTTCTATTAAGGGCTATTCTGAGTGGAAAAACAAATGCAACGTTTTTTCTCGCTAAAAAATAGATATGTTAACTTAAGTTTTGTCACTTCGTCACAAATTAAAAAGAAATCGGTAGCACGTGGAAGTCGAAAAATTAGCTAGAGAAAATATTTTTTGATTTTCCCATTTTTGTAACCTTTCTTGTATTTAGTTGCTTTTAATACGATCCTGCATACTATTTTTTTATCCTATGTTAAAAAAATAAATAAAACGAATGTTATATATACTAAAATTGAAATACATGCACAATGAAGGCAGGAACCGATATTTTTAAAAAAAAATTTAAATTAATTCATGCATTTTTTTTTCAAATTTCAAGTGGGGCAGGAGACAGACTCTCTAGACAACCAGAAATATTTTTCTGCTAACCTTTTTGTTAATAAAAATCCCATACAGAGTTTGCACTTGAAGAATAATTTATAATTATCCGCAATTATTTTATACGTATTTTTCTAGTTTGAATATTTTTCGAAAGGTTTCTGAGAATTGTAAGAATATCGTTTCAAAATTATTCATAAATTCTCTCAATTCAAAAATCCCTTTTTTGTTGGGATTATTTATAGGTACTTACATATTTCACTAAAGATAAAAAAATAAATAAAAATATTAATATATATGAAGAAACATTTGACTAAATGCAAACGCGTCCGACAAGGCAACCAAGCGAGTACATCCGGACCAAATTTCAACTAAAAAAATTCTAAACCAACCAAACGAGAATAGTATCGAATTAGTGACATTAATTCCTTTTAATTTTTAATTTTTATACATGAATTTAATTGAAATTAACATAACGTTTTTACACAGTTTTTTGTCATGTTCCCTCTAATTAAAAATTAAAATAATTATTAAAATGTTTGTTATACTGTAATATTTTTTTATGATAGTAGAACCCTGTATGCCTGGGTTATTTGAACAAACAAAAAATTAACATAATTTTTTTGGGCAATGATTCTATTGATTTTTACACATTAATTTTTTTTAAATAATTACAATTTTATTGAACAATTCTTTAATATATAATTTCTCATAAATGCCTTCTAACTAATAAATATTTTCTTGCATCAACTCATTCACTATAATTACAAAATTCAAAAACAAACTCTCAAGACATAACGTCTTCTTCTAGATTTTATTACACACTTTACTCTTTTTAAAGTATCGTATAACTTTTTCCACTTTATTCGGTTTGTCACCCAGTACCTCCGATTTAATTTAGACCATCGTGTTTTTCTGTAAGAAATTAACGAAGGAAAATCTGAATCTTTGGTTTTATGGTCAGCCTGATCTTGAATCAAAATTATTTTTCCTCGATGAATATTGGTCGCAAGGTCTTCTTCATTGCTATATTAAAAGCATATCAACAGCTATTTCTTTTGTTCCTTAAATAGATTATTTATTCTCTATTTTATGATAACCTACAATCGTTCTTCAAGTGCAAACTCTCTATGGGATTTTTATTAACAAAAAGGTTAACAGAAAAATATTTCTGGTTGTCTAGAAAGCCTGTCTCCTGCCCCACTTGAAATTTGAAAAAAAAATGCATGAATTAATTTAAATTTTTTTTTTAAAATATCGGTTCCTGCCTTCATTGTGCATGTATTTCAATTTTAGTATATATAACATTCGTTTTATTTATTTTTTTAACATAGGATAAAAAAATAGTATGCAGGATCGTATTAAAAGCAACTAAATACAAGAAAGGTTACAAAAATGGGAAAATCAAAAAATATTTTCTCTAGCAAATTTTTCGACTTCCACGTGATACCGATTTCTTTTTAATTTGTGACGAAGTGACAAAACTTAAGTTAACATATCTATTTTTAAGCGAGAAAAAACGTTGCATTTGTTTTTCCACTCAGAATAGCCCTTAATAGGAATTCTTGTGAGATAAAACTGTCTCAAATTTTTCGAGTACCACCTGCCACCGATTTGGTTTTAATTTATGACCTAGCAGTAGTAATAATTTTACTCCATTGGTTTCATGTAAATAAAGCGGTGGGCATGTTAAAGGTAAAATATTTCGAAAAAATTGTGTTCAGGGGGATTTTGCAGTGAAAATCTCAACGTTGTATTTTGTTTAAAAAAAAAATAAATAAATAAATATTTTAGCCTAGTTTGCAATGTCGTTCATGTATAAAACATGTATAAATTCATGTATAAAAATTAAAAGGAATTAATGTCACTAATTCGATACAATTCTCGTTTGGTTGG